ACATAAAGACTTGGAATCAAATTCTGCCCTGTCTCGTCTGTCTCTCTCTGCCTCCAAATCTTTCCATTCACCTATACTGAGGTGTTCTGTTTCCATTTAGGCTTCCTCCAAAAAACACTTAGATTTACAAAAGCGATGCAGTGTGTCCTTCCGGTAGTATTTAAGGTCAGATTATCAGAACAGTCTAAGATTCAGTTTTCCATGGCTGTTCTGGAAAACCTAGCCACTGGTTTAGATATTCAAATGGGAGCTGACTCAGTCGTACAGTATTTCTAGTAAGGTGTTATTAAACATGACCTGCTTCTCAAAATGATGCATCCTTCCAGTGCCGGGTGTCTGGATGCATTCGCTGGTATCTGAAGAAAATGACTGTGGCAGAACATCATTTGTAAGTTTATTTAAGAGCTACTCAGGTATCCTGACGTGAAATTTCCTCGTTTGCTTCCAATGAAACACTGTTTCTTTGGTCAATTTTGGCTTTTTCATTTGCAAAAGGAATACCAGCCTTTACAGACTGAGATAATTAATAGATACATTAATACATAGGACATAGAGGATATATGTGCAAACATATGTGTGGTTTTTTCCTATATGAATTTCATGACCACGTTGACAGTTATGTTGACGGGCACTACGAGTCAGCTAAACATGGCCAGTACTTTCCATTCTAAACCCCCAGTTTTAGCAGCTTGCAATTTTTACAACTTAAACGCCAGCATCTGGGCCAAATAGTGCTGTATTAATGACACCTCTGACAGTTTTACCCATTAGTCCCTCAAATGGGATCCATCCTATTCAAATTTTGGCAAATGTGCTCATATTGCAAGGCATAAAGAGACGAAGACAGTGAGCCCACAGGAAAGCCCATGAGGCTATTAATCACCTTGTATTTGGAATTGGGCTAATATGGTACTCAAGAGATGATGCTTAAAGACACACACTGGCCGATGAAAGTAAAAAAGAAGTATTGAATAGAGCTACCCATTCATGGATCACTGTCCACTCTGTTCAGTGAATGGTGTGCCTTATTAAAAATAAAAATAAAAAACATCCCTAGATTGCGATCAAAAAGTGAATGAGCAGAACCTTTGTTCTGGCATGCTCAGCATTTAACAATTTGATTAAGTAACCTTAGTATAAGGTTACTTAGTCTTTGGAGAAAGGGGGTGGGAGCATTAATTACTTTTTGAAGGTAATAACAGAGTCCATCAAAGCTGTTATTCTACTCTCCCTTTGAATGAAAACCAGAGAAAAAAGTAGTTAGGGTACTCCAAGTTTAGCTTAATTGCTAAGCCTTTAGTTTCTCTATTTCTGATCCACCACAAATTGAAATGATTCCAGGTGGGCTAAGACATTTCAGTGAGTACTTTATACCAGTAGTTTCCAGCTGTGCTTTAAGGTTGGCATAGGGGAATATCTGCTAATGGGAATAAATGGTAGGCTGCAATCGGGCTGTCAGCTATTTAGGGGAGCAGGAAGCAAACAATAGAGTGGTGGTCAGGCTTGCAGGTCATCAGAGTATGTTCAGCAGAAGTCCCTGAGGAGAGTGTTTGAGTATCCCAGACTTCACTACTTCTGCAGGAACACTGCCCTTTCCAGACACTGCTGTGGCCATCTCAAATGTGAACTCTCTCCTTACTCTTCCCCTTCCCCATGCTTCAGTCTACAGAAAGGTTAACCCAGTGGGAAAAAGCACACCACAGAGAGGCTTTCAACTTCAAACAAGCCCTGGTACCCTATGGCAGATAAGTTAAATGATACAAATTGCCCTCAAATAGTCTGCCCCATTGCGGTGGTGGTATTATTATATTTTTATCATTATTATTATTATTATTAATGTTGTTGTTGTTATCATCATTTTTTACTGTTAGTCATTAATACCACTTATTTTCTACTATTTAATGTACGTTCAGACCAAATTCCTAGCTGTCATGTGATCTCGGGAGGAATTTATTGGCAAATAATGTTTCAAAACATTGCTATATCCTGTGCCACTACTTCAGGCATGATGAAATACCTCTCTTATACCGACATGAGTGTAGGATTCTCACCATACTCACTCAACTTTACATAACTTGTTTGCAAGATCCATGTTCTGCCTGCTTTTTCTCTGTTGCAAACTACCAGGATGCCTTCCAAAACCAGCCCCATTCAGACAACTGCAAAGTCAACAAGCTTGCTTACGTGGGAGGCCAAAAACTGATGCAACGGGTCAAACCCTGGTCTCATTTACACCTATACCAAATGTGGATCTCTTCTCCTCTGTAATGTGAGCTGTGGCCGTGCCTCAGTTCTGAATCTCAGGAACTTTTGGGTCAGATACATTGTCAATATGTAGTTGTCTAATCTCTGGCACGCAGTTTTGAAATAGCTTAGCCATGATTCTCTGAGGAGGTTTGATTTAGTGTGATGGAGATCAGAAACAGAAGAAGACAGAATTATCCTGGGGACAAAAGAAAATGTGTCTTGTAGAAATGCCATTTTCAGAGCTTGAGATATGGTAGTTAAGTGTAAATACAGAATAAATGCTTCTTCTTTAAGCCCTTTAGTTATTCCTCAGTGGGAGGCAGGGAGATACAGGCAAATTATTTCCAAGCTGTCTAGTCCCACAGTAAACCAAGTAGTTAGAAATGACAATGAATTAAAGATTGAAGTTTTTTGGTATTTATAGGGAATTTCATTTTGATTTACAAAGACTTCTTGTAGACTCAAGTGTGTGACTGAAATACTTTTCCTCTCTTTGAAGCCACTACTTACCTACCCACAGGTAACAAATGGCATTCAGCAATAGAACTATAGTGCTGTTCTTTTGTAATTTATTGTCTTACTCATTTTCACATGACCACAGATTTCTGTTCTGAAGAAGTTGTGTTTTGATTTTTGAAAGTAGCACAGATACTTTGCATTCATTTTGCACATCATTTGGATGCGCAGTTATATTGACAAATGTGTATCTTCTGTGATCACATGGTTATAACATGTAAGGAGCAATATCTACCTTGTAACGTTAACACTAAAATGGCTTGAAGAGCATAACACAGCCAGCAGAAAGGACTGTGAGACTGCCTTTTCAGCTGAATCTCAAGAGTAACTGGTAAAGCAGGTAAGAGTTATGCCAGTACAGACCAGCGTGAGAGGAGAATTAGACCCAGTGTAAGCACTGATGCTGAATACTTGTTATATACGCGAAGTATGATGTCATTTTCCTTTTTTTTCATTCCACCCTATAAATATAATAAAAAAATGTGGAGGAAGTCCTGTTTTCTCACTGTGTCAATTGTTGACCATCAGGAAGGGTGATTCAGCTTTTCATCGTCAGTAATAAAAGCACAAAGACACAGAAGTCAATATTGGTTTGAGTATGTGTTATTGAAAAGAAACTATAACTAAAAAAATCCTCACAGCACAGTAATCCAAGTGCAACCACGCAGAGAAAAAAAAAAACCAAACCAGGGATGTGTTCTTCTAGTAAAATCTGTGTTTAGCAGGAAAAAAGACGCCAGGAATGAGGTTAGATGCCTGCACATACCCGAGCAGTGAGGCACCGTGCATCGGCTCAGCAGAGAAGGGCCGGGCAGGAAACAAGCAGGGACCAGGCACTGACCCCGCTCCATGGGAGTCCCTGGGGTGCACCCCACACTCAGCCCCATTCACTCCTCATCTCTCCAGCAGTCTCAGTAGGAAGGTAGGGAGGATGTCGGTTCCCTGGCCTACAAGAAGGGCACAAGTGAAACATCTGAGCCTGGCTCACTGCAACCATCCCCAGCTCCTCCAGCCTGCCTCTGTCTGGCTTGAAAGTGGCCACTTCAGGGACTTCTTCCCCTGAAAGTGGTCCTGTCAAGGCTCAGGTTTTGTCACCAACTTGATGAGCCCTTCCCTGAAGTGCTTCTTTCAGACGTAGTATTTCACTGAATGAAGTCAGCAGCATGTACATGGCATTAACTACTCAGATAACCAAGAGCTACATGAGTAGTTTCAGATGCAGGATCCTTCTGACTAATATTCCTATCATGTCTGACTAATGAGGACCGGTTAAAATGTCAAGAGTTTTTTGGGGTTTTTTTACTACCTTGTTTCTTACTCACTCTCACAGTAGATGATAATGAACTGATATGTTGTTTACTCATTCCATTTATACAGCCCTTTGGGGATAAAAGAGTTGCTGCAGCATAACTGCTTCTGCGTAGTTTAGGAAGTCTTACAGGTGTATGAATAAGAATGACTGTTCCTGCCTGAAGTGAACAGACTCGGCTCTGTCATTTAAGAGTAGGTCCACATTGAAGATAATGCAGAACTACTGTTGCCCAAGCGGGAGAAGTCTAATTCTGTAAGGCAAAATTTCTCATGGAGCTCCCTGTGGCACTGAACTTTTCCACTGCCAGTGAAGGAGAGCAAGGTCAGACCCATGGCACCCCCACTGCCCTGCTCAGGGATGTGCAAGGAGCCCTTCCTGCACCCTCTGAGCACTGGCCCAGGGAGGTGAGAGCAGCAGTCCCTAGATGCATGGGTGGGCAGTAGTAAGGGAGCTGGCTTAGCCCTCTCACACGCCCCTAGAGCTACCTCTCACCCACAAAACCTGGCCCTCCACTGATGGCCTGGCTCCCCAGGGCAGCTCCAGAGCCTGGGTGCTCCTTCAGTGGCTCCCTCAGCCATGCATGGCTCTTGTGCCAAGCCCTTTCAAAATAGCAAAGGGATTTTGCTTGATGTTCATGAGGCAGAGACATCACTGATAAGACTGTCATACAACAGAGCATAATCCAATGTATATCTAAAGGCAGCAACAGCCTAGGAAAGAGCCTGGGGGAGAAAAGCTTAAAATGGAGAGGTTGTAAAGAAAATGCATGTATAAATGTACATAAAAAAAAGGTAGGCAAGGTGAAGAATGCTGTCAATATTTACTCTACTGCAACTGACCTCCCCATCAGTTCTTTCAGGACATTTGTTAAATGCATGGAAACTATTGATTTCATCTAATTAAATCATTTCCATGCATTTCACAGGGACAAACGCTAAGCACGGACTGCGCTGTAAAGCTTGTAAGATGAGCATCCACCACAAGTGTGTAGACAGTATTGGACAGCAGCGTTGCATGGGCAAGCTGGTAAGTGAGCAGCTCAGGGCAGCAAGTGCGGTGGGAGGCACCAGTTTCTGCTGGAGCCACTTGCTTTGTGTGCCTGACCCCCTGGCTGGCATCTAGATGGTGCATTAATAGAACTGACACCAGGTCATTTTACTGAGGTGGGAAAAGTAAAGTCAGGTGGTGTCCTATTATCAATTTGGGCAATTGCTACTACTCAAAAACCTGAACAAAAATGAAACACAAATCTAGTCTGCATTGTGGATGTGAAAATACAGTTATATAATCCAAATTTAGCTAAATTACAGAATTAATTCCCTTGATTTAAACTGTTGTCGTGTAAATCTCTCAAGGAATGCTATAAATTAGTCAAAATATTTCAATGAATTGTAACAAATGAAAAATCCTTCAAATTATGTTTTATTGGTTTTTCCACTGTTAGGGCTTGAAGAAAAACCATAATTCATCTTAAAAAGAAAACCAAAGGATACTTCACAGTGAGACACTACAGAGTTTGAAGCAATCTCTCAGTAGGAGAGGCTGAGAGGAGACCTGCCCCTGTATGGCACAGCACCTTAGTACCCGGGTCACCTTCTGAGTAGCAAATTCTCATTATTGGCAAAGGCAGGACACTGTGTTTGAGACGATTCTAACCCAACTTGACGACTTTTATGGGAATATGGTTATTTTGGTTATTCCTAGAAAAAGAACTTGAAAAAATGACCATTTGGAATATGAAAACTGAACATATATATTCATGTTTCAGATGTTCTCAGCTTTGTTGCAACTTGAAGGCACCTGAGGCAAATACAAGCTAAACCCAAACAGTTTCACTGTGTTAAATGATGAAAAAATGCAAGCATTGAAAAGGGCTAGAAAACCCACCTTTCACTGGAAAGATCTTTTCTCTCCAAGAGTATTCAGTGAATGCTACTGTTGTTTATACACCTGAGGCAAATCTTTGTGCATTTAAACCATAATCCTAGCCCTAGTGTGAGGCATTCTGGTATAGGAAGTTGGTCTGTGACGAGCTGAATGACCTCATTGCAAGCCTTGGACAAGCCAAATATTAAATCACATGAATTGTTTCACGCATTTCTTGGTTCCAGCCTCAGCTCTGTTGTCACTAGTTTTAAAAAGCAGAAAAGTAGACACCAAATTTACAGCAGGAAGTTGTCCAGCAAAGTCACGGGAGTTTTATGAGCTCATGTTGTGTCTGAATCTAGTTTGTTTGGGGGTAAACTGAGGCTGAGGAATCTGGAATTTATTCCTCTAAGAAACCAAATTTGTCAATCCCCTCATTCCTTCTCAATGTATACTGCAGCTCATTTGAAAAAGAACTAGTTGTCTATCATTTTTTGGTGTATACTGAACATAAGATATGGAAAATATGCACATCCCCATGAGGCTTTCCAACTTCTCACTGTGATTGGAAGATCTCACAGCCTGCAAAGATTAGAAAGCTGTCATTGACCATTTGTCAATCTCTAATACCTTGAAGGGCATTTCCAAAGACTTAGATGTTAGCACCTTCATTTTGGGTACTCATCTGGTGACGACTTGGGAGTTTTTTGACCTTACAAGACAAAAAAGCAGTGGAAGCTGCAGTCAGTCAGCAGCAAACCTTATAAAAACCTATAGAAAGGCTCTAAATTCCTTGAGTTTCACAAGTGCGCACATGGGTACATGAGGATTTGGAGTTAGGGTAGGGAAGAATAGTTGCATGTTTAGCAAGTGCAAAACAATGCAAAATCACATTACATAACGAGAAAGGGAGAGGGAAACTTCCCAGAACCTCCAATGATTCAGCACTTCTGCTGCAATTAATTAGTGCTGCTTTTGAGTAAGACAAAAGAGAAGGGGAGGGGGGGGGGGGAAAAAAATGAGTCCCTCCTCCTTCCACATAAATACAGTAAATGTTTTTTTCCAGGAGAAAAATCAAATAAACCCCTGATCCATAAACCCCACAGTGACTCAACAACAGGACACAAACTTCCAGCCTTGCCACACTGTTACGCCACTAGCCGAAGAGCTGAGGTTATTTCTACTACGTCAGTCATGGCAGCAATCCACTTCATTTGTTTTTGCTTTCTCTCCCTCCAGCCAAAGGGATTTCGACGGTACTACAGCTCACCACTACTCATTCATGAACAGTTTGGCTGCATCAAAGAAGTGATGCCTATTGGTAGGTTTTGATTGCTTTTCCATTCAGTCTCCCTTTGGCAGTGCTCTGCAACAGCAGCGGCAGACTTCCAGCCGTGGTATTTAACCTCAGCAGCCTTCCAGCTCCTTTCGGTGACTGGATGTCCTTCTGCCGTCTCAGGAAAGGACCACTTCAAAGATACAAAGCTGGAAGAGGAGAGGGTGTGTTTATTGTGCGTTTCACTCAAAACCCCATACATATAACCTCTTAGTAATCACCCTGTTTATAATAATAACTACCTGAGCTCAAGGTAGGAACTTAAAAGGGAGGAAACACTGGAATATTGAGGTGAAGGTCTGAGCTGGGAAAAATCAGATAAAAGACAGAGAGATCGAAACAGCAGGAGGCATTCAAACCACCAGTCTGGCTTTTGAGGGACTTTGCTAGGTTCCTGTCTTTTTTCACCCACACTTCTTAATTTCCTCATATTCTTCCTTATTGACCATGTCCACACATTGTCTGAGTATTTAAAAGACCAGATTTTGCTCACCGTAACACCAAATTCTTGAAAAGAAACATTTTGAAATGGAGAAGTTGAGTTGATTCTGGAAAATATTTCTCCCCAACAGTACTGTGGCCAGGCAAGCCTGGCAGTACAAAAAATGAAAGCCAAAACTAGGCAGTCAGTTTAAAATTACTTGTCTGAGGACATTTACTTGTTTTCGGCAGTTAAAAAAAAAAGTTAATTACATGGATTTCATCTAAGTTTCTCTTTCTAAAAAACTTCCATCATTTTTGTCAGAAGTAACAGAAACATTTTGAACAAACTCTGGCTAAAAAAATGAGGTGTGCTTTGCTCTCATCAAAATTCAATATCCCATGTATTTTCTCAGTACTTTGGCCAAAATTTCCCTCCTTCTACACAGTGTTACAAATGTACTGTATTCTACGTGTCTACTGCCTTGTACTGCAAGGGAGGCTGAGGTCTAATAATGCAGTATGTAGAAGAGGATTTGAACTGGATTTGCTCATGCCAATTGAAGACATCCATTTCTCTGCCATGGGAGATGACTTTGGGGCCAGCTATGAGGGAGAGTGGGAGTGAGAATTGAACGAACATACGCCAATGGGGGTGGTGGCCTTTCTGGCTACCCCTAGACTGAGCGGAGCAACCTGGAGCACATTCCCAACAGCAGGTACCTACTCACACCTGCCTCCAGACCCCACATGGCCCCACAGTGGGGATATCAGTACTTTTCAAGGAAGATCCAGGCCATCCTGTTTAACCAAATTAGCCCAGTAGTAGCACTGTGAGGGTGGATGGATAAAGGTGATGGCCCACCCATACCACAAGGATGCTCAGGCACAATGCAGGGTTTTTTCCTTCAAGCATCTGCTGTTGAGAGCAATCCAAGAGGTCAGTGGTAGGAACAGGCAGCAAACATGGATTAAAACCTCCTGGTACTTTGTCTTCCTTACCTCAGTGTAGGCAGCATCAGTGGTGATTAAGAAGGAGGATGGCAAGTGAAGAGAGACAAGGCAAGGGCAGGGACCCGAAAAGCCTGTATGAGAAGAGGATGATCTTTATGGGAGCAGAGAGGAAACAGAAAATCACTAGCAAAAGCCAGTTCCACTAAGTTCATCAAACACTTTTTCTCAGGATAGTGTCTCAACTTGTGTCTAAGCATACACCCCAACATGTTGGTAGAGGCAGGTGTTTCTCCAAGTGGAGCAGGAACATGACCAGAAATATCTTCAAGGGATTGATGCATGTTTTGCTCCTTCTGTTGCAGCCTGTGGAAATAAGGTTGACCCTGTGTATGAAACTCTTCGCTTTGGGACTTCCTTAGCTCAGAAAACCAAAAAGAGCAGTTCTGGAAGTGGGTCTGACTCTCCCAACAGAAACTCTGTAAGTATCCCACATCTTTCTTCCATTTTCTTTGTGGAGGAGCAACAGATATTCATTCACAGGAGTTCATATCAGAGTTCACAAAACTTGTATTTCAAACTGTAAAAAAAAAAAAAAATCTCACTCCCAGCTTCCAAAATGAGACCAGAAAGCATGTTACTTTTGCAAACTCAGGTTTTAAGGATCTTTTAGATGACTCTTGAGAAAAAGAGAAAAATACAAATTAAATTAATAATCTTCTTTTATCAGGTTGGAAGAGGAAATTATATTCTGTTGATTTTGCATATCTGTGTACAAGTGGAACAGAGATATTTAACTGTCGTGCTGGAGTAGACGCATCCTGCCGCTTGGTGGTGGTGGGCATTTACCCTTCATACAAGTGATAGCGATGGGTTGGAGTCCTGAGAGCCTAGATTTAAAAGTACAAGCTCCACAGTACAAGCCCAGACAAAATTAAGCCACTGCTACTGCAACAAGGCAATGGGCTGGCACCTCCACCCCTGCACAGTGTATACTCAGGAGAGGAGCATCACAGAGTTGGGCTCCTCTCTCCAAAACCCAAACACAGGCAGGTGTGCTCAGCTTGTTGTATCCAGACAGGGAGATTTTTCTCCTTTGTGTTAATCCTTGTCATTCACTCTCTCCTGTCATAACAGTCACTTCTTCAGGACCATGGTAGAAGAGCTGGAGAAGGAGGACAAGGGAAATGATAGCTCCCTTAGCCCTGCCTTTGCTAAATCCATACCTAGCTCAACAGTAACACTTACCAATTTCTTTCTGACAGAAATGGTTATTTCAACAGTATTGGGACCCATGAGATCAGGAGCTCATGCATGGTGTTGAAAGAACATTTCATACCCTCTCACCTCTCATAAACAGGCACTTAAGCCTGTGCTTGGGGCTCTCTTTTGTCCCAAGAAATCCTCCCCACTCTCTCCCCCCCCAAAAAAAAGAATCACACCTGAATACACTGGAGGCTAAAGCTGATTGTCATGTCTAAAAATCAGACCCATATTATCTGACACTCTCTCCTGCACTCACCTCAGAATAAAAATCACCAGGCACAGAGACATGATGAGACTTGGTCTCCAGGCCTCAGAGCAAACACTTACATGTTTAATTCGAAGTTGTGCTAAAATCTGTTTATGCTTGGTACAGCATTTCCCTGGCACTTAAGCGTATGCTCATTCACATGGCTGAACTGTAACCTCAGGTGGTATAGGTGGCTCTAAACAGACGTTCGTTTGTGTCAGATGGGAAAGAAGACAGACAAATTTAAACAAAAACTAAATGAAATCTGTAAGGGAGTTATTAAAGGACATGTCCTCTATCCACCCTTGTTTGTGCCTTAAAAGGAATTTAGTAATTTCCAGTCTTTTTTAAAACCAAAGTGACTCTACCACCTGTCGCATTGTGATTACAGTTCTTTCTTTCAATTATTTAATTTACTTTGAAACAGAAGTTCTACAAATGTAATTATTGCTTTCTACATGAATAAAGCATTATATTGAATTATGAATGACAACTCAAGCGTAGAAATCATGAATGCTGTGTCAGCTTGCCCTAGAGAGCTGATCATAACTAGGTGGGGTGTGGGTGTAGAATGAGGAACGCAAGTTCATTATGGGAATTTCTCCAGGGTATTGAGGCTGAGAGAGAATATAACACGTGTCAGCATACAGAAAATAGAAAACATTAGAGAACTGAATAAACAGACATGTGAAACCATAACTTCTGCCAGTGCAAGCCTGTGGATTGAGATAAGGATAAAAACCAGGGGCAGACACAAACCTGAACCAAATGATGGGGCCATGGAGCTTTACAGCTGTGATGTGTGACCCAAGAGCAGGCACTGACCAGCGGCCAGAGCAGGGACGTGACACAGTCCTTAGACCCCAGGTAAAAATGCACCAGGGCGTGTGAGCTGGCAGCACAATAATGCACAGGGACTAAGATTTTTCCCCAGTGGTCCTCATTTCTGTGCTGCTCTGCTCCTCTCAAAGCAGAAGCAGCAATGCAGCTGTGAGGCTCACAGCAGCACTGGGGCTTTGCATCTGGGATGTATGTGCTCCAGCCCCAGGAGCTGGGGAGTTCTTCAAAGTTCTGCCATGTGACAAAACCAGGGTCACCAGGGACATGGTGGCACCTGGGATCCTACTGCACCTCACAGGTAGTGTCCAAGCTGTCAAAGGGCTTGCTCTGGATCAGAGCAGCATAGCTGCTACTGAAGGTAGTTAAAAGCAAAGGTGACTAGCCTAGGAGCCATGCTCTGCCTCTACAGCCATGAAGCTTCCAGGGTTGCCGTTCATGTCTCTGCACAGAGTAGCGATAACCCTCTTGCTCTGAACTAGCCAAGATATTTTTAACATGACTGAGCAGTGTGGATGCACCCGCTGTGATTTTTCAGCCTGGATTCTGCATTTCCCATAAAAAAAAAAGTGGCCATATGCTCCAGATTTACTACCTACTGCTTCCTTCAAAAATGTGCTTCTGCAACCCACATTTATACAGAAAGTCACTTGAGGTGATGTAAATGTGATTCCAGTTCCTAGTTTTTGTGGATCAGCTCCTCTCAAAAGCAGCTTTGTACCTCTATAATTTCTATTAGACCATTCATCATATAGCTTTTGACTGAAAAATCATTAAAGGTAACTGAGGTTACTTCAGGAGGTTTTGGATGTGGTATATACTGAAGAGACAGTCACTGTACTTCCCATATGCAGTGGTACCCCACAAAATATGAAGCTGATCTGCAATTATGAAGCTAGTCTATGAAGACTGAGGAACATGCCATAGCAATGAGCTGAAAAATAGCTGGGACTTACTATTTCAACAAAGCCAGTCTTTCCCTTCCCCACCTAGCAGCTAGAAATCCTCATCCAGGGGTGACCCATTTGTGCAAGATGCAAGACAAGCGTGAAATGCTGCAAAAGGCTGACTCTAAAAACAGGGTGTAACAGAGCAGTAAAGTAGAAGGCTCTTAAAATCTCAAGGGAAACAAGATAACCACAAGATAACTGTGGCATAAATCTACTTTTAATTTCTTTGTTCATTAGTATTCTTGGATGGAGAAGTAGCTAGGAAAGTACTAGATAGGGGAAATAAAATTGTCAAAGTACTTTCTAAAAAAAAAAAGCTTTGTTGTGAACATTAGTAAAAGGAAAAAAAACATATAAAAATCTGTAAAGCAATTCAGATTTTGTGCTCCCTGAACAAAGGCAGTGAATGTTCCTCGTTTGGCTTTTCTTCCTGTAACGCAGGCAAAGGTCTGCAAAGCAATGGACAGAGCTATGTGTACAGTATAATTCTAGAGTGTCATGGAATAATTAAGTTAAATCCTTCCATGTGTCTTAAAATCCTGTTAACAAAAAATAAATAAAGTTTAGGAGCATATAAGGATTTACAGTTTTTCAGATTAGAGAGAGCACCTGACTCAAGTTCAATGTTTCTGTTTTTTTATGGTTATAAAATACGTTTTATCCAAAAGAAGTCACATGTGGAGAGTTCAGGAACTGAAGCTCCGTAAGGTCGATTTGGACAGCGTTGTTTGGAGCAGTTCCTGCTTCCTGTTGGACTATACATGGAGAAGCCAACTACCCAACCAAGGAATCTGGTGCTTTATGCAGAGTATACTTCTGAGGCTTGGGATTATGTCATCCCACTTTTTCCTACACCCTAGAACAATGGGTCCCTAATCACAATTGACAATAATATGGTACAAATAAGAAATCATAGTAATTCTAATAACAACATTTGGGTTTCATTTTTCCCTAACCATACCAGCCAGATGACTATTTAAAAAGAAAGTGAGGGCGGATATTTAAAGACTGACTTCACCAGCTCCATCACACTCCAGCTCCTTCTTTCACAGCATGTTAACAGAACTAAAATCACCCTTACGTTACAGTTATTTTACTGAATAATGTGTTCAGGGTTAATAAATTAATAGTCAATAGTTTCAATTAATGTCCAGTCCTGGTAGACAGCTATTTAGTATACCCACAGGATCTACAGATTCCCCCAAGCCCCTTCTATTTTATACAGAGAACCACGTTGTTTAACATAATCCTTTATTCCTTATCTTTCACTTCACTTTATACTGCAGAAATTTTTTGTACTTCAGGCTGGAAGCTCGGTCTGGAGTTCTTCCTGGGCTTTCACTGCTCCCTGTGAAGTTTGTTGTGCATCACCAGATACAATGTTTTCTGCAATCCCATTAGGCTGACTTGCTCTGCTCTGATAGCACCCAACTACTACATTCCCCAAAGGCTCTTGTGTGGTCTTATTTCACCTCATCGCTCACTTTTTCTGGCTTATCCCATCTTATTTGCTCTTTCTGTCCCTGCAGACAGCCGACCTGGCGGAAGTTCCTGAGGAAGGCGACAGCTCTGCAGGCACCCTTGACATAAGCAGGAAACGCAGCAACAGCGGTGAGTGCTGCCAGGCCAGGATAGCATCTTCAGATGTATAGGCCCATGTACAACCTATTTCAGATGGTTTTTTTATGGCATGTCCATGTTTCAGCAGCATTCTGGTTTTCAAAGCGAGATGTGAATGGGGCAAATAGTTGGTGCAAGAATTTGGGGAATGCTTTTTGCCAGTCAGATGAAATCCAAGCCAATAGTTTTCTTAATTTGTTGTGTCCAGACCTGACACTGGACAAAGTTCAGGTCCATTCCCGATCTTCTATGTTTCACGAACATGGCTGTAGACTAATCACTTAACGTGCTTCAGTTCCATATTGGTAGAGTGGAACAAAAATAATGCTTCCTTTCTTTTCCATATGTTTGACTTGTCTACATGTCTCTATATACCATAATTTCTTTGGGACAGGAAATGAATCATATAATATCCATATGTCTGTAAAATAACCAGCACAATGATTCCTGATTATAATTGCAGCTTCTCAGTACAAATATGGTATGTGCCCAGTAATATTAATAGCCCAGTTCTTTTGTCTGCTTGCAGTACGAGAGTAATGTTTTTACAGCATTGATATGATGGGATTTTGAGACCGTCACACCAATCAAGAGCTTAGTAATGAAATCTCAGCCACTGAGGGATGGTGACTGTGTCCCTGTTCTTGAATTCAGTCATGGTGAGGGAAGTAATAAGTACAAAGAGTTTTGGAGCACTAAGCAAAACTTCAGGCCCAAACTATCAGAGCAACTTCTCTAACAGCAACTGAAGCTGCTTTGCTGAATCTTACATGAGATGTACACTGCAAAAATAAATCACAGTGAGCATAGTTTTCTTCTGTTAGACCCCCAGTGCTCCTTACATGCTGCTAGCAATTAATGTAGGTGAAATGCCAGCTTCAGCTGTCCATTCCCATTTTTTGCTACCTCCTTATTCCTTTCCTCCCCTCCTGGTCTGTGTTCAGTCATTTCCTCCCTCTCATTTTGTGAACATCCCACCTATGTTATCTGCTTTCTCCTGACAATTTATTTAGGTTATCTATCTTGCAAGTGCGAGTTGACCTGACCTGGTTAAAGATAAAGAATTCAGTCTGCTTCACATTGTTTAATCCTGCCCACCTGAGACTAATTTGGCCCTGTTTGAGTTTTCAGATAACTTTTTATTTCATTGTCGATCGGTAGTTTCATTTCTGAAACCCAGAGAAACGTTTTTCTCTGAGTTCTGCATTCACTGAATGCACTGAGGCATTCAAGGAACTTACTCAAAGAGATTAGTTTAAAAACTCAGCATGTGTCAAACCTCCAAATAACTTGCGCAGCACATTAACGATTCCTTTGATCAGCACTGGCTTTTTTACAATCCATCCTTCAGAGGCTCAGGGTATAAATTATGCATCAGTCACTCCAAAAATTTCCCCTTGGTAGATTTTTAATAAACTGCCCGCACTGTTTGCACAAGCTATGGAAATGGTAAAATCCTTTTCAGACTGTAAAAATCCCTGCTTTTTTTTTTTTTGTCTGCTGCTGCTAGGGCAAACAAATACGAAAACAGATGGATTTCTGTTGTGTGGAGACATGAACTACATACCTCTATGGCCTTCAGATTCAAGTGCCTCCTAGTAATATCCAGAGACCATGAGCTAAACAGAGATAAAAAATTTAACAAAGTAAATTCAAAATGTTGTTACAGGGTGATTCACCACTCCTTTTTCCTCAGTCGTCCACTGCCTCCTTAGCAGGCAGTTCGACATTAATGCCTTGATAAATCAGGTCCATTCCAGTTCTTTTTTTTTTCCATTAAAAACTGTCTTCTTCAAATAAGATTTTAGGAAAATGTACGTTTGAGACGCTTTGCTTAAAGGGAAACAGCAGAAAAGACACAGCCTGCAGAAGGGTGAAAGGACCCACGACATGTGTGGCCATGTAATCGCTCCTATAGACTCCTATGACAACAACTTCAAGGGAAGATTCTTTCATTCAGGCCCTGGCACACATACTATGAAACAAAACTTCCTAGTTTACAACTATAAGATGGCATACCTGATTTCCAACCCTTCATCCTCCTCTAAGCCAGTTATACTCCTTCACTGCTGTGAATTGCCATCCGCAACAGAAGTCCCGCAGCCAAAAATGTCGTTTAAACGACATGTATGAGCCTGTTATCAACAGGGATTTGAGCACTTTCCCCTCGAGTCAAATATGGGATGTCCTCCCTGCAAACCCAGATTTGGTGAGCACTTCTCAGCAAACACAAGGATACAGGCCAGCTCCCTCCCCGCCTGCTGGGTGAGCTCCACAGCTCATGAGGCTGTACATTAGTAACCTGGCTTTATTTTCTGTCACCAAGCAGAAATTACTCCAAACATGCAGCTGAAATACTTCCACTTTGTCTGATGAATGGCTTTCTGTAAGTCCAAAATGCTCCTGGTTAGCCAACTCATTGTTCACCAGAACTTTTCCTCTGGACACAAGAACCAAAGCATGGTAATTTGAGTAGGACTTACACACTGCCAGATTATAACAGCAGCATTTTACATCCCTTTATAGAGATGTCAGATATACATACACCCCTATACTAGAAGATACAGGAAATTAATTTTATTTTTTAGGTTTTCCCTCTGGTACTCGTGACAGTTTGCAGGGTCAGAGTCCCTCTACAACAGGACTTGGTGAGGAGCACAGTGAGGCCCCCAGGTCAGCTGCAGTCAGACCACCTAGACACAACTTGGGGCATTTTCAGGTTAAATGCTGCAGGTATCAGCTCACATGCTGCCTTCACATTCACACATTGGACTTTATGACTGCAATATTGTCTTACATTTTATCAGAGAACATGTGCTTATGTGTGCTCGTGGATGCGTGTGACTGTACAAAAACTTTCTCATGCATGCTGTGGCTGCTGTTTTAGCTATCTTTCCTCTGTTACAAGAACACTACAGCTTTTCAGTGTCTAAGTACTACTCTCTACTATCAAGGAACCTTACTATTTCACTCATAAAACTTCTTCAAAGACTCTTTGTTTGGTTGTCATTTACAATGTAGAATAGCCACAGAAATATGTTTAATGGCAGAAAGGGTGAGCAAGTGAAAGAGCAGAGGGGGGAAGAAATTCAGCAGTTTAGTGTTCCCTGGCACCTTCTTTCCCCTGAACACATGTAACTGTATCACAGAGAAACAAAAAGAAAATGCACTCAATCAGCCTACTACTTATTACCATTTTGGAGATTTCCAAATTGTTAGAGACTACAAAATCCAGCTTCTGCTCAAAACACCTGCAGAGGTAAATGGTGGGAGAAGATGCCGATGGTTCCAGCTGCCCAAAGATTCCAGCTATTAAAATCATATTCAGACTTTATCCAGAAACAAGAAACACCAGGCAATCTTTAAAATGTGAAGGGGAAATTCAGTCAACGTAATAAAGCCACCGTGGTATATATCTAGGGAGATAACTGAGGACAGGCATCAGTCAGCTCATGAAGCAACTACAATAGAGGGTAACTGATTAGATATCAGGTATGTTAGGGCAAAATCTACAAGTAGGGCTTAAAGGAGGATCCAGGTAATTATAGGCCCATCAGTCTTACTTCAGTCCCTGGGAAAGTTATGGAACGAATCCTCCTGGGGGCTGTCACAAGTCAAATGAAGCACGTGATTAGGAAAAGCCAGCACAGATTCACCAAGGGCAAATCATGCTTGACAAATCTGATCACCTCCTATGACAAAGTAACCTGCTAGGTTGATGTGGGGCGAGCGGTGGACATCGTCTACCTGGATTTCTCCAAGGGTTTTGATACGGTTTCCCACAGCCTCCTCCTAGAGAAACTGATGCGTTACGGTCTAGACAAGTGGTCTGTGCGGTGGGTGGGGAACTGGCTGACAGGCCGCACCCAGAGGGTGGTGGGAAATAGCTCCTTTTCAAACTGGCAACCTGTCACAAGTGGGGTCCCCCAGGGATCAATATTGGGCCCAACGCTGTTTAATATCTTCATTAAGCCATCTGGATGATGGGATCAAGTGTACCCTGACGAAGTTTGCTGGTAATACCAAACTGAGTGGGGAAGTGGATACTTCAGCAGGGAGAGCCACCCTACAGGAAGACCCGAATAGGCTGGAAGAGTGGCCTAACAAGAACCTTATGAAGTTCAACAAGGACAAGTGTAAGGTCTTGCATCTGGGAAAACATAATCCAGGAGTGCAGCACAGGCTGGGATCTATCTGGCTGGGGAGCTCCTGGTGGACAACAAGCTCAATACAAACGAACAGTGTGCTGCTGCGGCAAAGAAAGCCAACAGGATGCTGGGTTGCATCAACAAGGGCGTCACCAGCAGAGATAAAGAAGTCATTATCCCACTCTACTCAGCGCTTGTCAGGCCACACCTGGAATACTGTGTTCAGTTTTGGTCCCCACTGTGCAAAAAAGATGTGGACAGGCTGGAGAGGGTCCAGAGAAGGGCCACAAAGATGATCAAAGGACTGGGAAGCCTGCCATAGGAGGAAAGGCTGAGAGAACTGGGTTTGTTCAGCCTTGAGAAAAGAAGGCTTAAGGGAGACCTTATCACCGTGTTCCAGTATTTAAAGGGTGGCTACAAAGAAGATAGAAACTCCCTTTTTACAAGGCGTCACATGGAAAAGACGAGGGATAACGGGTACAAGTTACTCCTGGGGAGATTCCGACTGGACACAAGAGGAAAATTTTTCACAGTGAGAACAATCAGCCATTGGAATAATCTCCCCAGGGAAGTGGTGTATTCCCCAACATTGGACACTTTTAAGATTCCAGCTGGACAGGGTGCTGGGCCAGCTTGTCTAGACCGTGCTTTTGCCAAGAAAGGTTGGACCAGATGATCCTTGAGGTCCCTTCCAACATCGTATTCTGTGATTCTATGATTAGGTGCTGTGACCATTGTCTTATTCTGTGAGTTTCTGATTTAGTAACTTAGAAGCAGATTTTCACACATACAAGCCTGTGTCTCAAATAACCCATCCCGATTTGAAAACAATTCAGGTACCTCCTATAAAATCAAAGAGAGAGGCAGCGTATCCAGTTCCCCCCAGGCAGGGACTACTGGAGAGAGAGATCAAAGGCAGCTATCAAACATAGAAATAGAGGGTCAAAGAGGGGGAGGAAGGGGTTTTGCATACAAACTTCCAGCAATATTGCTTATATATGGTCGTCAGGTTTTGCAGGTGCTTTTGAATGGAAATAATGCTCGTCCTAAACATGAAAATACAGCATTCAGTGTGAGCAAAAGGCTGCTGGACTTTAAATAGTAATGCAATTAGGCAACCTAGGTTCTATTCCCAGTGCTGTACTTGTGTATATTCATCTGACCAAAATTGTTTATTTGTTAAGATTGCAAACTCTTCAGGACAGAGAATGTTTTGTGCCATGTGCCAGTGGTATATGTGGTTTTGCTGGGCGGG